TATATATATATATATATATATATATATATATATATATATATATGTATATGTGTATCAATATACACTAGCTAAAGCTACGAAGGCCAGAGAAATTTATAAGAGAACATTATTGTTGTTAAACTTGACATTATCATGGCAAGATCGAGGAACATAACCAACAAAACTGACAAAAGAGTTAAGGAAGACACAGACAAACTTGTGGAAGCTTGTCTGGTCAAATTATATCCTACTTAAGCATTTAGGCCAACAAAAGAATAGCAGTATATAAAGGAGAAAACAGACACTGCACATCCTATACTGTAAAGAAATCGAACGCACTTTTAAACACGGTGGTGGCAGCATCATGTTGGAGGAATGATTCTCTTTAGCATAGACAGCGAACCCAATCAGTTCATAGGATACAGGTAAATACAAGCCATCAAGCAAGTAGACCTGTTAGAGATGGCAAAAAATAGAGACTAAGGTGGAAGATCCCTTTTTCACAGAATAAGAACCAATAAACTGGTCAGATCTTTAATAAAAGGGTTTAAAACAAAGCACATTTAGATTTTTGAACGATTAAAGGTGAAGTCAGGAACAGTCCAAACTTCAGTGATTACCGTACTTCTTTTTTTGTAGAACTCATCCACCCAACCCACGGACCCCTACCAACCCCCCTACAGAACACCATTTTTCATTTTCCTTCCCATTTACAGCTATGCATTACTGTGTGTTTCTTTATCTACAACTACAATGCCAGAAAAAACAAAAAACATTTAACTTTGTGGTTGTACTATGACATAATATGAAAAGGTTGCCTTGGCAAGGCACTAGTGTGACACACGCTCAAAGTGATGTTTCAAACAATAGATCACTTTATCTAAATATCAAAGTGCAAACTAGCGTATTTAAATAAATCAAAACATGCGTGCTTTGGCAGAGCCTCGTCAAATCGAGCTGGGAGAGCAGAGACCAAACAACCATTATTCCTCAAGGTGTGCCCTATATGGTGAAGCTGCTGCGGTACTATGTCAGTGAGGATGCCGTGTACCTGCATCTAGAGCATGTCAAAGGTAAGTGACTGTCATCTGGTTTCCCTATAAATGATAAAGCTGTCCACAGGATTATAAGAAACATAAATAGGAGACATTTTTGTTTGGTTTTTTACAGGTGGGCGACTTTTCTCCAAGTTGCGCAAACTTAGAAATGAGAAGACCAAGGAACACCCAGACCCATGCTTCTCCTCTGGCCACCACATCATGCTGAAGACAAGCCACACCTCCCCTTCAATCACCACAGACTTCAACCACAGCAGCAGGAGCAGAGCAGTGAGTTCACACAAACCTACAGATGAGAGTCCAGATACAGACTTCCCAAACTCATGGCATGAGACTCAACAGCGATTGGAAAGCTGCGGGACACACTCTTACATTGAGGAGACCGGCTGCCTCCAGAACACACGGTCGGCTGCGTCGTTTTACACCAAGCTGGATCAGCTGACTCTAGTCTCCGGCCTGACAAGGACACAAGTCAACACCCAGCTCCATCCACCAGCCCCGAGTTTGTGTTTGCATTCCAGTGAAGCTCAGGAAAAGCCGGCTCTTCCTCTCCCTTGTGCCCGTGTCAGCCAAGCTCTTGATGTCATGTCAGAACTCCATAAAAAGAAAGCTGGGATGGGACTGGTAGAGTGCAGCACAGACTTTGAGGCAGCCTGGGAAGCTGCAGACCCGATGCACAGCTGTACTAAAGCAAACTCCTATGCAGTGACTGGCAATCATTTGCAAAGAGCAACATCTCAAACAAATCAGACCTCATATAAAAGACCAGAATCCCCAATAAGTCAAAATGCTGCTTTAAGCTCCTCTCCTGCCATTTTGCACCTCCCTCTCCATTGCCAGACCCAAATCCATGGCAGAGCATCATGGGAAGCTAATGCCTCCCAACAGGGATCCATTTTAGGTGGAAGTTCTGAAGAGATGAATGCTGATTTGAAGGAAGAAAGCAGCCCTGTTGTAGAAGAAAGAAATGGAATGATAGTCATCCGGAGCACAGACAGAGCAGTATTTTCTGATCACACGAACACAAGCATTATCTCACAAAGCTCTCCGGATTTTACGACTTCATTTTTGCACAGTAGCCTAAATATACAGGGGATAGTATTAGATGAACACCAAAAAGGAGAAAATTGCCCTACAGAGGTAAAACAGAGAGTAGAAATGGCCTGTGAAGTTCTTAGTCCTGGAGGGAAAAACCAAAAAGTGGGATCATATGTAGGCTGGGTCTCTCCTGACCCTCTTGGAGTCACATGCCACAGCAACAAAAAGAATGTGGAGGGACCAGAGATGCAAGGAGAAGACCAGATCATCGAGGTGGACGGCTGGTGTCATCTGCCACGTTTTCCTACCAAGAACTCCAGGCCTGCAGATAAGGCCTTGCAGAACTGTTGGGGGCTTCCAGAAGCCGAGGTGCGTGTGTGGGGTGCGCAGATTCTGTTGGCGTTGGAGAGTCTGCATGAGCAGGGCATCTTTTGTCGAGATCTCAACCCAAGGAACATCCTGCTCACCAGCAACGGTGAGACCGGCAATTCTTTCTACTCCCGTTAAATTGTCAGGTTTAATAGATGTAAGAAAAATGGAGACAAAAATGAATCATCTGAGAACTTTCCAACCTTACCGTGTCCTACGACCCATTCAGCTCAATTGAACAATAGAAACCAATTAAAGTGATATTTAAACATCTGAAGGAAGTTGTTACGCAGGTTTTCTCAATTGAACTAATGTTTTGGTGAGGCTCTTTGATTTTACCAACATACTAGGTCTTTTTTTGTCAGATTCTTTCAATAGTGCATATTTTGTATTTGCCAACTCTTGTCTTAAAGGTACTTTTAATCTATAAAAAGAAATCTCGGTGCAAAGCTCACCACAGATATTGAATCTGAGCTCTGGCAGGACCATAGCATTACTTTATTATTCTTCTAGTGTCACCTTCAGCTGACTGGAAGATTTTCTGCAAATATTGTCTGCTGTTAAGAATGTTAAAAATAGGCGCTGTGTATGCACCCTGATGCTCTATCTTTCCGGTTCTTTTTCCTGAAAAAAGATCTCTCAGGACAAACTCTTTAAATAAGATTTCATAACTTATAAGTATTAAAGAACCAGGAGACATGACAACAGATTTTGATAGAAATTGTAATCTTACTCAGATCAGACAAAATGCATAGAATATACAGATGGCCGCTGCCCACCTCTGGGCTCACCTTTCAGGAAGTGGCCCCGATTAATAGTTCAAAGGCCATTTTATACAGTCTGCCATATCATCATGTTTTACATTATATGATTATATGATTATACATCCATGGCTCCAGCCTTATCAAAATAGGACACCGCTGTAGTTCCATTTCCAAATCTTTGCCACGTACAAAATGAAGATTATAACTGTATATCCAGACAGAGGAACTGTCCTAATTAGATTAAAACATCAGTTCTGATGCACAACAGGCAGCCCATACCAGGGTGTAATAAACCTACACATCTTCAATGATAAATATCATAACAAGAATGTTTATAACTTCCCAGTAATATCTCGACAGCATGATGCAGACACTACCATGCCTCACTGTGGATTTGGCAGTCTTTTGAAACTTTGGTATAAAGTTCCTCTTTTTAAAGTAGAACTGGCTTTGTTTGCCGACATACTCTTAAGAGACTAAGCATTGTTTTTGCAAAAAAAATAATGTAGATGGGGTTGGATTAGTTTTCCTCTAATAAAAAGGACTTCCAGATTGATGAAGAACATTGGGTACCATCTTCCCCTGAAGCACACAGCTGCTGCTTGTCAGACAATCCCTAAAGTTCCTTTAATGCTGCTGTTTGGCTCTTAGAAGCCTTTTGGAGCAGCTTTCATCTGACCTTTCATCATTTTTGTAGGTATGTCCACTTCTAGATTTTTCAACTGTCCAAGTTAAAGGAAACAGTAACATTTTCTTAAAAAAAATGTTACTGTAAAAATGGTCTAATTTTTACATCATAAAAAAGGCAATTTAACAAGAGGAGTGCAAGGTTATAAGCAAACAAAAAGCTATTTTGCAGTTTGACTAAGCAACATGTTTTCACAGGAAAGGTGTGTTTGACGTTTTTCAGCCAGTGGAGTGAGGTTCAGTCAGAGATCAGCTCCAAAGCCATTGAACAGATGTACTGTGCTCCAGGTAAGGATATTTGTCATCTCAAATCTCCTTGGTGTTATCTGCCACCTAGTGGCAACATGCTGGTAGTACCACACTAGATGGCATTTCTGAAGACATTTTAAGCAACATTCCTAATCCAGACCATTGTGTGTTCCCAGAAATTGGAGGAGTTTCAAGGATAACAGAAGCTTGTGATTGGTGGAGTCTTGGGGCTTTGCTGTTTGAACTTCTAACAGGAATGGTAACATGAAAGATGGAGATGTGTAATGTGATTGCATTGAAGCTGGTGTTTGTCCATTCTCTATGTTGTGAGAAATCTAAAGGTTTTGTATGCTCCTCCAGCCCCTTTGGCAGCTGCATCCAGCAGGAATCCATTCCCACACCCAGCTGGTCATCCCCGACCATCTAAGTGCTGCAGCAGCTTCCCTGCTCACTGAGGTTAGAGTAAAGGATTTACAGGATCTTGCAAAAGTACTTATATACTGGGGAAAAAAAATCGAAATCTAGATAAGTCATTTTTTTCTTAAAATAAGTGCATTTGTTCTTGGATTGGAGGTAAAAGAGACATTTCACCAATGTCTTATGGTATTTGAAGTGCATATTATCTGATTATCTTATTTTAAGAGTAAAAATACTTGTTCCATTGGCAAAATATCTCATTTACCTACTCAAATTAAGGATAAATACACTTAATTTAACTTTTTTTTTATTTCTAGATGTTTTTTCCAGTGTACAGCTTGACCATTTTCCTATTTAGTCACAGTTTAAACATAAATATTGGCTTTAGCACAAAGAAGCACATATATTTTCTCTGTATTTTTATATCTTGCAGCAAATTCTTGATTGGCTTTACATCCTATAACAGTTTTATCTTTCTTTTGACTGGTGATCTCAGATTTCAAGGAATATAAAAACTTTTGTAAGGTTTTATATAAAAAAAAGACCTGATAATTTACCTTAAAACCTTGTTAAAGCTCTGAATCAAAGATTTTTTTCTCCCTACAGTTGCTTCAGTTCGATGCGGGTTATCGCTTGGGTTCTGGAGGTGGAGGAGTAAGCGACATTAAATGCCATCCATTCTTCAGTGGTGTGTCCTGGAAGGCTCTTTCCTGCTAGCAGGGATTTTATTGTTTTTTTTTTTTTTTGCCAGAGTGGACAATTTGGATTTCACCATCATGTCCAGAGTGGATGAAGCCCAAATGTTACATGAGAATATTCAAAGAAAAGGTTGTGCTTTGAATTTCAAGTGCCTTGCAAAAGCATTCATACCTGACTTTTTCACATTACAACAACTACAACTACAAACTACACCAGCATAAAATTACAAACTTAGTCATCTTATTTGCCAGACCAACACAAAGTAGCACATGATTCTGAAGCACAAGTCAGAAATGTTTTGCTCCTTCGTTGTTTTCGTTTGCATTAAGTTCCATCCAAGCATTTTAGTGCTTATAGATGCATGATGCTGCCTCCACCATGCTTCCCAGATGGGATTTTATTCATCCATCTTATGGGCAAAAGCCAGGGGTAAACCCAGCACAGCCTATCAAAGGACAATACACAATTATACAATTTAGATCTATCCTGGTTACATTAGGTAGAGCGTCTGGCATAAAAACGAAAGTTGGTTTTGACCTACTGTGGTAACCTTTGAATAAAGGAGCCGCCAGAGGGACCTGCCCCTTTTCAGTAAGATTTTTCTGTGTTCCTCAATCTCTAAATATTAATGTCATCTTGTGATGTGGTAAAATGTGAAAAATCAGATGCTTTTCCAAGGCACTGTGATTCATAAGTACAGGCACAAACTGATTTGCATATAACTCATAGGAACTTATTGTGTTTTGATGCAATTTTTGATAACTAGGTTTTACATATCACCTTCATAACCATCCTGCATGTCAATAAACCCTTCCAAACAAAGACTCTGAATGGATTTGTGACTGACAGAAAAACAAGAACATTCACTGTAACAATGAAAGAAGATAGCTCTGGATTAGACGGCCGTCTTGGGTTAATAGTCAGGTATTTTCCTGTGATGGAAAGACTGATTCAATACTAAACTCTGCAGTAAGATCGATTTGGATTCTTAGATTAAAAAAAATCTTTATATGCTACATAAATCAATTTGTTTAGGATTTTGTTTTCATAGTTATAAAACATTCTCCAATCATCAGCTTTTAAAGGAATCAATATTTACATTAGAAAAGTTTTTTTTTTAAACCAATAGATTGTTGGAGTTGGTTTCAGAAAGGTTTACTGAAAACTCTCAAGTTTTCTTTACCTAACACCAGGGACACCGAGTTTTCAGAGAGTTAATGCAACCCGTTTCTGTTACCACAGTAACCGTCTCACCACAGATAGCCTAGCCAGGAGCAGATCATGTCCTGTCTCCACTCTCCTTAGAGCAAATCATGTTTTTTTTTTGTTTTTTTTCCTGATTTAGTTTTATGCCCACAATAAAAAAAATCCCTAGGTCAATTGATTAGGTTTTGAAAACAAATATTTCATGTCCTTTAGACAAGGATCAGCATTAATTGAGAATTAAACAGGCTATTTATAGGGAGAGGAATTGACAACTCAGTTGATAGAATATGATATTTTTTTGTTTTTTTATTTGTTAGATAATATGAGCTGCATGCGGTTCTTTTTCTTTTACAGTTTAGGAAGAACTAGTGAAATTATTTTCTGATTACACATAAATAGCTTAATTCTGTGGGGGAAAATTAATTACAAGGATAGGATCAGGATTCATTCGGTGATAACCCACTGACCCTACTGCTAGGCAGGAGAAACAGTCTGAAGCCATTCTATTGGGCTGATAACCACTAACAATGGTCATTTATTGACATTACATCCAAGCGGGTGTAAACAGAGTTTTTACTGTATAATTAAAGGTAGAATAGGGAGGAACCCTATGAGATGATGCACAGGTCCTACCTGTTAGAACAATGCTTTTAGATGTCAATTTCTCCTGCTGACAGGTGATTTCACCTAAATAGATGTATTAACCATTAACATTCAAGCAATAAACTACTGGTCAGCATTTTTATTATTTTGACTATGAAGAAAAGTAATTCAGATAAATACATATTCAGTCAATCGGATTAATGGCAAAACTGCCACTTACAATGTGTAAATATTTTTAGATATATAAAACTTAATTCTTAGAAGTGCAATTTAGTTATTACTTCCTGAAATTCAATCCCTGCTGCAAAATTGTAATTACGTTTCTGACTAGAAATGTGATTTTAACCAGGAAGAATCCTACTTTAGTGATCTACCAATGGAACAAGAGTGCTCTTTTAACTGTAAAAATGGCCTGCTACGCTATACCAGACTCCATATAAGGCATTTATTCAGCAGCAATCAATAGCAGCAATCCTCTCCTTTGCAGCTGTAGCCCTGTTTATCTTTTAAAGACATTCTCTATTTTATTTCTGCATTGAAGTCCCAGTGGGGTGAAATTGCCACTTCCTCCTCCTCCTGCCTTTCGTCGCCGTGACTCGTCAAATCAGGGTTCCGCTGATAAAGCTTTTCATAGTTGTTAAACATGTGCTCAATTCTGAGCGGACCTACTTAGTTGATTAAACTAACTAAAAGCAGGTTTTGTGAAACTGAAAGTCAAGTTTCCAACATTAGACAATCAATTCAGAGTGGAGGATTTGAGTTTGTTAAACCTACTAATTAAAACGGACCCTTGGTCTGAAAAGGTCAGGGGTCCATTGAAACCTCTCATGGTCCATCAAATGTTGATATTTGTTTGAGCTGTAAACCTAAATTAATCTTAAACAGTATAGCAGTGATAAACAGCAATATCAAGATTCTTAAACAACTAAAACTGGGAGAACAAACCTATTCTTAAGCCTATGCTGCCCTGTAAAATTTGGTTTACCTATCATTTTTTTTTAAGCTACACATAAGGCTTTTACGGTCATCAATAGTTAATCCCTACAGATTAAAAAACAACAGCAACTGAAACAGATGCAAAGACATTCAAGACAAAAGCAGCAGTGGGATAATGAAGTATTTATTGTTTAAAACTTTCCTTTTTCTCTTAAATAGTCTATCTCACACAGCAAAAAGAGAATTTCAAACCTCTGAGGATTCCTTCACTTTGGAGATTTTTAAAACATAGTGTCTTGTTTTCTAGCCCAATGTGTGCTCATTGTTCTTTTCCTCAACCACAATAATAAAAATTCTATGTAGTTGCATCGTTACTTGCCTGTCATCTCACAATAAGTGGATTTTTTTTTATTTGTTATTCTTTGTAGAAAATGACATTTGGCGAAGAAATTTAATAACATTTCTCTTTGTTTCTTTGATCAAAAGACCAGCACCTGAAACCCCAAAGCCCAGGACTTAAACCTTTCAGCTGGTCTTACAAATGTCCACAGCACAACCGAACTTTTCACAATAAATCCTCGTTTATCCCTCTAGTTAACCAATACATTACATTAAATGCAGTTATGGTAGTTTTTTCTTCTTAGTTGTGAACAGCAGCCGTTGGTGTGGGGTTGGTTCGGTGGGCCCGGAGTTGACAAAGGTTCACATGTCGAGGAGGAGAACCCTGGGGTCCTCCACCACTGACTTGATCTTACGCAGGAAAGTGACGGCCTCTCTTCCATCGATGAGACGGTGGTCGTATGTCAAAGCGACATACATCATTGGACGGATCTCCACCTACATGAACAACAATAAATTAAATTTTCATCAGATTAAAACAGTAATTTCAGTTTTAAGTGGTTGCTGTTACCACAATAATTGTATGCACTGATCAAATATTTTGTGGCTAGCATCTTCTCACCGATCTTTTAAAACCACAAATAAAAGATTATTGTAGATGTATTAGCCTTTAATAGCTATACATATATAGTAAATAGCCATATTTGAAAACAAAGATTTCGAGGAGGGGCTAACGTTCTGCTCTCCCATGCTCACCTTTACTTTTATCAGAGTTATTGTGTTTTAGACCCTTTAGTGAAACAAAAACAAGCAAAAAAAATAATGTTGAATGTAGTAACTTTTTCTGTGTTGTTTGAAACTTGGTAACCAGTGTAAGCCTCATGCAGGAATCTGCCTGAAGTCAGAGGAGGGAAGAAAGCCACTTTAGCCCGTTTCCCATTGGAAATGAGTCACACATGAGCAAAGCTTCCACTGATTCTCCCAAAGATTACTAAGCGGGATGTGGATATAATATAAACAATCTTTTAAATAGTTCCCTCCCTGTACTTGATTTCCACGGAGCCTCTCACCTTATCTACTTTGTGCCTTTGTGTATGTATTTTGGCTTAAGGTAAAATATACGTTCATTTGTTTAAGTTTTAAGCACGTTTAAGCATCACTTTCAGTCCTCCCAATTTTCATATTTCTCTCCCCTTGAATCATACTTTTTTCCAGCCCTTTATTTATATAGTTAGTGTTTTTATTGTTTTGCCTATATTAACATTTTTACCTTTTTTATTCATTTTGGGTTTGTTTTTTTTCAAATGTTAAAAAAAGAACATTTCAGTGCTAATTATTTGTTTATTAACCTTTAGTTTGAAAAAAAAAAAAGAATGGATATTGAGTGCTGTTAAAAGTAGTAGTATAGATAAATCATTACCAATAGCCCTACCTACCCCCGTGTATATTAATAGGGATGTTCCAAACCAATACAGATATCAGAAACTGAGCCTATATCAGCAGAAAAACAGAATATCTGCCTGCATCTCAGATAAAAGTGGTAATAGTTAATGCAGGGTTTATACTGGAATGAGTAACTCTAATTTAATGCTTTTTAATGCTCTTAGAAATATTTTTTAATGCCACAAACAATTTTCAATGACTCTGCGGCCATGGCCCGAATTCCTCGTTTTCCAGCCACTTTAGTTAAAATTAGCATTTCCCCCCATTCTCTAGCCTTTCTCCGCCTCAAGCTTCATTTCCGAACATACGGCTTTCCAATCAACCGGAAACAGTTCCGCTCAAACACGTGGAATAAGGGTGTGCAAAATAATCGTCATGACAATGCTTCGCAATTCTAATTTTTGTGATCTACTGCATCGATTCTTGAAGGCAAGAATCGATTATAAAAAAAAAAAAAAATGAACAAATAAAATCAGCCACATCAGCCAAATCAAGTGGAATACAACTTCCAGTCCAGCAGATGTCGCTGCGGATGTGTTGACGCCCGCTGCTTTGTGTCACAAGCATGTCCGGCTGTGGGATACTGAGACGAGTCATTCGTAAAGAAAACATGGAGGACACTATGAAAATTCGCCCCGCGGCTCAATCACATTTCAAGTCAGATGCTTGGATGCATTCTGGCTTTAAAAACAAAGAAGGTAAAAATTTAATTGATTTGATGCACGTAATTTGCAAAAGGACCACTGAGGCCATGTAAACGGCACAGATTATCCTTATTTTGTTATTTTAAGTTTGATGAATCCTAAGATCTTTTTGTCAGTGTGTCTACACCAGTAATAGTAATATTTCTGTCCAGTATTTGTTTTCATGGCTATACCTCCAAAAGTGGTTTCAATAAATACAGCTATGTATGAATTCAGTTGTTTTCAGTTATGTATCAATTGAAGACACTATCCAGATCATACACAGCCAGTCAGCCACTGGTAATGGCTGTGTCTTTTTCTTACAGTGTTCAGTGAAAATATCGCAATGCATCGCAATATTTCAAGTATTGCGATGCATCGTGATAGAATCGCATCGTGGCATGTGAATCGTGATTCGAATCGAATCATGACTTCTTTGCCAATACCCACCCCTAACGTGGAACCAATTATATCTGATATATATCTGACAGAATTGTTGTTTTTTAAATAAAGCATTTTAAATGCTATGATAAAATAATACATTTAATGACCTGTGGAAACCCTGTATTGGGTCAGTTCTCATACCCACTGCTGTTGACTATCTTTCTATGAGTAATGTCACTTCATCAAGCCTTTTCAAACACTTCACAATCCAAAATGAGCAATCAAAATATGTACAATTTGTGATGATATCGTATCGGCTGGGTATAGAACAACATTCAAAGCTGCATCTGAGTGCTGTATCAGAAGTGAGAACGTATTTGAACAACCTTAGAACGTTACTTGTTGGACGATACGATTGACCTCTTAAAAAGGGTTAAATAGACCAACCATCACTGTGATGCAGTCAAACTTGTTATTTACTGAAGTCATTCTTTTGTGATTAAAATTAGTTTTAAAAGGAAGATTTAATGTCCCTCTGCAAAAAAAAAAAATAAAGTTTGTTTTCATTTTAGAAGCTAAAACATTACTTTAGATGGACAACAGAGTTTTGTCTCTAAACTACTGACTTCCACACCAAAAACAAGGCCCCCATGCATGACCTGCAGGTGGTATGGATCTTTTCTAGCTATAGATTGGCAGCAAGCAAGTTTAAAATCTACCAATTCTAATCACAACCCAGACTTCTCTCCGCATCTATAACAGGAATGGAAATACACACCTTGCCACCAACTGCAACAGGCCTGTCGAAGATGCCATGCATGCCCAAAATAGCAGATTGTGGTGGGTTGATAATAGGTGTGCCAAACAAGGACCCAAAAACGCCGCCATTGCTGATGGTAAAGGTGCCTCCATCCATGTCTTCGACAGCTAGCTCGTTTTTACGTGCCTATGAATGCAAAGTAATAAAACATTAAAAGTGAGCAGCGTGCATGCAAAAAAAAAAAGTGTTTGATGAACTCACCTTTTCTCCTAACAAATTGATTGCCTTCTCAATATCAGCAAAGTTCATTTCTTCTACATTTCGTATTACGGGAACCACCAAACCCTGAAAGACAGATACATTTTTAAGTTTTTAGTGCACCTTCTACTTCTGAAACATATTTTTCAGTAAAATATATATATATTTTTTTTTACCTTAGGCGTTGCAACAGCAACACTGATGTCCACATAGTCCCTGTACACAATCTCTTTGGTCGTATCGTCAATCACTGGAAAGACAAAGCTCATGAAGATTACACAAATTACTTGTCCAGGTTAAATTATAAGTTCTCACTTCATGTCTATCAAGGTAAAGCTATTTTCTTGTAAACCACTCGCTCTCACATGCAAGTCAAAAGTTGTGGGTAATCAACACCGCAGACCATTATAGATCTTTAAAAGGCAGCAACACGTCCCACCCCAGTTTCACTGTGGTCTATCTAAATAGGTCAGGGGAGTCTAGGGGAAGAAAATAAGTTAGGAGTTGGTTTTGAGGTAGGGCAATGAAACTTAAATCTTTTTCTTCACCACACACACACTTGGCCCACCTTGAAACCAGACGTGCAAAGACAAATTGAAACTGCCACCACAGAGTTAAGGTTATTTAGTCTTTAAAGTCCTTATTCTGTACCTCCATTGACAGCAGGCTGGTCAACTAGAGCGTACGCGGCGGCCTTCACGAACGCAGACATGAAGCCCAGCTTGATGTTGTGTTTTTTCAGAAAAGCATCTTTGTAAGCCTTCCTCATCTCACTGATGTTACTGCAGAAAGAGCATAGAAGGCAAAAATGAGAACTGCAAACACAGAAGGTGTCTGAAATTATGCAGAGAAAAATGGGAATGACATCAATACACTGTAAAGGTTCTAAGATATGTGCTGGTCAAATACAGCATGAAAGTATTTATTTAAATAATTCCACTAACTAATTTAATGTAAATGTTTTATGTGCAATGCATTAGTATACCCTATGCAGTCACTGTATGCAAATGGTAGCTAAGTGAAAGGAAAAACTTGTGCAAAAGCAGCCAGGAGACTTGGGAGAACTAAAAAACAAAATCCTTAAAACAGTTTATGAGAAATTAAGAGGTTGTTACTGCAGCTACAATCACAACATATAGAAAAATGACATGCAAATGAAACAGCTGTAACCGTTTCATTCCTTGTAACAGGTTGCTCTGTTTCTGTCAGTGAGGCCCAGCGCAGCAGCGGCTACAATGGAGCTTGCCACCATCAGTGTGTGAACGTGTAAATTAATAAACTGAATAACTACATTTCCAGTTCCCCGACTTCATGATGAGCTATTTAAGCACAGGTCATTATAAACCCCAACAATCTAGATGAGCTGAAAGGACCTCAATAAATCAACCCAGCAGCGCCTCCCGGCCATCCCTATCAAGGTCATACGCAATATTTAAAATCAACAGAAATGCATTTATAAGGAATGTAAATCAGTTCCTTATTGACACATAAACATATTTCAGCTTTAAATTTAAATATTACAATATTGTTAACTTTATCATTTCCAATTACAATAAAACAAATTATTGTTTTAAATAAAATGGAATTACTAAATAAACCAGGAGGAAGGATCCAGTTTTTGATAATGGTCCTGAAGATAGTGGGTATAAAGCTATTGAAGTTGGTCTGCTAATTGTTTCAGTTTTGCTCATTTTTCTCTTGTATCTCTCCTTTTAATTGTTTGTTTTCCTGTCTCTAACCCTGTTGGAGCTCTAGGGTTTCTCCGCTAACATAATTAGCCCCTCCCAAGACACAGACTCTCCGAGAAAGGAGAGAAGAAGCGATAAAAATCTTCACTTTCTAGGGCCTGTAAATCTTATTGGGCTGTCATAAAAGCCCATATCAGTCGAGGCAGCTCTTCCACTCAGAGCGCAGGTCTCTGTGGGCCTCTGCAGATGCTCCCGCCTCCTGTTCCGACCAGTTCCTTCGGCTCCAGATGAGCCCTGGACTGGGAAGTCTTCCTCCAGACCGTCAATGTCAATCCAATTAGAATACACAGAAAACCCTGAATAGCCGAAAGCCGACACCACACATTTGCGGGGGGAAAGAAATCCTCAAAGTGTCCTCTTCAGCAGAGGGGGCGAGTGCAGACACTAAAGCTTCCTTGTAAATTAATAAAACCCGTTTTAACAATTCTTATCTTCGTTTTAGATGGAATTATGACCAAATATTTACATTCCAGTGTTTAAGAGGATATTGGGTTTCAAAAAGCTTTTCCTATTGGGCAGATTCCAATCTATAACCATTTGTTGAAGTGTTGTTGCACCTTTTAACACAGATGCATACATAACGGCACTTAGACAGGAAGTCTGAATAAATACAAACTTTAAGAAAAAACTGGGAAAAAAAAAAGATATGCACAGAAACAGAGACAAGTACAAGTACACAGCAGAGCGGATTTAACATTTAACAAATCATCTAAAATAGCTTTTGAGGGTTTAATAATGTAGGTCAACTAACTGAGAATTTCCTACCTCATATCGACCTCATTAAAAGTAGTCAACATAGCACAGGTGTTTTGGGCTTCCTTCAGCCTCTGGGCAATTCTTAGTCTCATGCGATTCATCTTCACCTAATAAGGAAACGCAGAAACACATTTTTTTACATAAATATAATTGGTAAACTGTATCATATAGAATTAATTGAGGTTGTCTTTACTCTGCTCTCGGTCCTTGCTGCTTTAGCTCCACCCTCTGCATGGGCTGCTGGTACCGATGGAGCAGCGGTGGGTTTGATGGCTGAAACTTTAAGACAGTAAAACAACGAAGCAGTCAGCGCCTCTAGTATTGGACAGCTAAAGGTGCTGCCGTCACCATATAAAACAATTAGCTTTGTAAGTTTGAGGATAAGAACACAGATGTCCCGCAAATGAGTTCTCACATGACTGGGGCCGTCTGTCCGATGTCTACTAACCTGGTTTGGTGTCCATAGCATGTGCTGGCACAGGTGGCACCGGGGGCATGGTGGTGGGAATGGGCCCCGCAGTGGATGGGGGAGGGGGGGTTGGAGCAGCAGGAGGCGGCGGGGCAGCAGTGGCAGCTGGGGCCTCGGCTTTTGAACCTTCTGGAGCTTTGGGGGCCCCGGCTGAAGATGCACAAAGAAAAAAGAAAAAGTGAGTGCTACTTCCTTAAGCTCAACCCTACTACTGTAAATGGCTTTCTGAAACTTTTAGAACTCTACATTGACAAAAATAAAATTGTAAAAATAAAAACATACAATAAAATGAACACACTATTTAGAACATTGTTTACATTTAACACCTACAAGAAACATGTAAGAATACCTCAAGTATATTAACTTGTTTCATAACTTTAGGTTATAAAAATAACCTAAAGTTTGTTATTTTTTCCTTCCTTCATCTCGGGAATATTGGAAAAATGAGTCCAGGGGTGATGCTGAGAAACTAGTCCATGCATTGGTTACTTCAAGGCTGGGCTATTGTAATTCTTTACCATCAAGTTCACAAGCTACAGTTAAAAGCCTTCAGCTGATCCAAAATGCTTCAGCCAGAGTTCTGATCAAAATTAAAGATATATTTCTCCTACCCTTGCTTCTCTTAGATCTAGAATATATTAAATCTAGAATAGAACCTAAAATCCTCCTTCTCACATATAGCGCCTTAAATAGCCAAGCTTCATCTTATATCAGAGAACTGCTGTACTTTATGTCCCAAAAAGAACACTTTGTTCTCTGACTGCAGGTTTACCAGTGGTTCCTAGAATTTCTAAAAGAAGAATTGGAGGCAGATCTTTTAGTTATCAGGCTCCTCTCCTTTTGAACCAACAAAAAGTTTCATCCATGAGGTAGACACCGTGTCTACTTTTAAGGCTAGGCTTAAAACTTTCCTTTTTGATAAAGCTTATAGTTAGAGTGACTCAGGTTATCCTGAGCTATCTCTATAGTTGTGCTGCTATAGGCTTAGACTTCTGGAGGACATAGGGACCCCACTTTCATCATTCTATCTCTATTCTACCATTCTGCAGTATTTGTTAGGCCAACCACTAGCTTTATGTTCACTCTGCTTTGTGTTATAATAGCTTCATCTGGTCCGTTACTGTTTGGCTGTGACTCAACCTTACAAAGAAGTATTAGCTGTGCTACTGCCATTAACACCTTTGATTATAGATGATCGAGTTCAGCCTGTTTTTAGTGTTTCTGTTTTTCTCCTAGACAGATCTATGGGCTCAGCTTTTACTGTGACTAACTGTATCAGCTGTCTTTTATTCCTTTCCCCACACAGAGCCATCCGAGGAGACAGTTTGTCGTTAGCTTTTCTAATATAGAAAGCATTCATAGATCAGTCCTATGTTCATTTTGCATGTCTGCTTCTGTGTTTGCAAATCCCTACTCGGCCTCTGTAGATTTGACGCTCACACCGAGCCTGGTTCTGCTGGAGGTTTCCCCTCTCCACTTTTGCTGCATGCATGCTTGCTGTGAGGGATTGCTGCTGATGCAATCAGCTGGTTTTCCTTAAATATAAAAAATCTTACTGCATGGTCTGATTAAATTGTCATTGTAAAAGGCCTTGAGATTAAATGTACAGTAAATTGCTGCTATATAAATGAAATCAATGGAACATAATTATTTTCCTGTTCTGTATCTGGACTGTTCAAACAGTAAGATTCATAACGATTATGGATTGTAGGCAGACAATAAAACTGTTGCTGAAAACCTAGGTTTTAAAACTGCTGAAAACATACAGTCTCTACAGCTTAAAATCCATTAACAACAGCCTAAATTAAATGAGTTTCATCAATAAAAATAATGAAAGGAATCATTACTTGGTGCATTAAGCACTCAAGACATAGTCCTAAAATAACTGATGTTTATTTCGAGGTGTCTACACATCAAAATATTAATATTATAGACTTAACTGCATTGTTTGTACATAATCTTAGCGGCTGTTAAAAAAAAAGCTATTAGATTATATTATACATGCCAATTTTAGATTTCTATGTCAAAACAATTGTTTGGTGGAATTTTGACCCAGGATCTCATACTGAACTATGGTTAATGGCAAGATTTTAATCAACAAAGCTTTCAAAACCAAACTTATTAAATATACCCTCTTGTATGACGAAGATGCTCTTAAGGGATAATGCAGGTTTTGATTTGATTTCTCAAACAAACTACAACACCTGCTTCAGATGAGAAATTTAGAATGTAATTTAAGAATAATAAACGTATGGCTTTTTTTTTTTAAGGAAACCAGGTTGAGCACAGTGAATCAATCAGAACCAGTTCTAACTAGGACAGAAACAATTAATTGGATTAATCGTGATTAACCGATTATCAAAATAAACATTGACTAATTTAGTAATCGATTAATCGATGAAACAAGCAAATTTCTCCACTGAGAGATCAATCAAGTCTATCTATCAATCAATCAATAATGATTAACTGGAGTGTAGAGACTCTAAAATGTGCCTTTAGCTGATAGGGCAACTCACTTGGAGCAGTAATTACACCAAAACTGTCAAAAAATAAATAAATGTTTTAACATTTTGCATTTCATAAATTTTGCTTTATCCAGAACTACTCAAGTGAAAAAAGTTTGTTTTCAATTGGTTAAATTTTGCCAAGTTTTCTTTAAGGAACCTTTTGATATTCGATTATTAATAAATAAATTGAAAAAATAATTAACAGATTGATTTGCAGAATAATCGTTATTTGCAGCCCTAGTTTTAACCTTTCAATTCTCTTGGAATCATTCTAAATTTCTTTTTACAATTCATAGTTTTAATGCCAAGTTCACCGACCGGAAATAGAAGCTGCCTCATATCAGTGAAGAAGAATCAGCAGGGTTGACTGAGCAACCATCCATTTATGCAGCAGCATTCAAAAGTGTGGCTTAATGTTGATGAAGCCACAGCCGAAGTAATTGACCAGTCAATTACCTGGGACACTTGAAATGGGATCATATCATAAGACTGTGTACGGCCGATGTGATTCAACACCACAGGCCTCTGGATGACAGCCCCACCTTTCAGTTCAGTTAGCCAAACTTCTAAATAATTTTAAGCGTAACCAGCATAATCCATAGATTATTTTATATGATGTAACCCAGTAAGTGAATAACTGAGCATGAAATCTTACCGTTGCTCTGCCCACAAAAGTAAATCACTAAATCCATGCCTATTTTGGTGACACTGAGGTGTGGTAGACAATACTAAGGATAAAAACTTCTGGGATTACTTTCCTTGTGTGATGTTTTTTCCTTCAGCTCTGACACTTAGTCTGGCACTGCCATTGTCATCAAGTAAATAAAATACTAAAATTGTCTCATACAGCATAAGTACCTGTTGCATCAGACACTGGATATGTGTAATTTTGTTTCAATTAAGTTTTCAAATAAATATCGATGAGAAACTGTAACTCTGAACATTCTTAAGATTCTATTACTGTTCATAGGTTTGATATTTATGTGCTGATTGGAAATAACTACGTAATGATTTATAATAATGTATAATAATGTTTACTCAAATTTAGAATTCATTGTGAAGTTGCGATCATTTCATCCACACTGATCTCGGTTAACCTGCTCATATAGAACATGTTAACATTTATGATCCTTCCTCTCAAAGGAAGGAATCAGAATTGTTCCAATTCAAGCAATGCTCAAGTCTTGTCAGAAACTCTCTATAGGAATGCAGTTAAAGAGAAAAATCTAACTGACCGTACCTCCTTTTTTAAGCTTAAAAAGTGGTGTTCCTCCTTCGACCTTCCCCCCATCTGGGACCAAAAGTTCCTCTATTACTCCAGCAGAAGGAGAGGGCACCTGCACTGATGTCTGAAAGCACAAAAAGAAATTCAATGAAAAAAAAAGTAATAGTTTAACACCAATTTGGTTTATTTCTGGGTTTCCTGAGGTGTTAGAGTTTGTTTGGAGCCAATTTTAATAAATAGAAGGGCTGGAAAAATTAATCAGATTAATCAACTATTGAAATAATTGTCAAATAATTTAGTAATCGATTAGTAGTTAACCGGAGTAACCCACTTAGAGCAGCATTTATATTAACTAATCTGTTAATATGCTCCATCCAAAAACCCTCATGTGGAATAGTTTTGGATTCACTTGGTTTAAATTCTGACAAATCTTCTTTACGGAGCCTTTTGTTATGCTTTTTTAGGATTTTTCTTAATCTTATATTCCCTTAGACTCCAGGGTTCTCACCAGGATTTTTTTTTTCTTACGTTACACACTTTATTTTTTTATCTGCTTGCTATAATTGTTTACAATCATGTATGTTGGAGGGAATGTTAATATCTTCCCTTAATATGCAAACTATCAGATCCACCTGGATGTATCTGCAGCTGGGGTAAGGCAGCTACGACCCAGTGCAGCAACATCGCACTGATTATTGGTTGCTTTGGTTTGACAGACCAGCTGTTTGGGAATCCTTCCAAACTTGGACACATCACACCTGATTTCAAAGCTCGCTCTCTGTGTGCACAGTAGTGCACGTGTTTACCTGCCTCCAATTGCTCCGAGGAAGTCAATGATATTTTCACAGCATTTTTCTTATGTAAAAGTGCAAAAAAGGAGGTATATATGCTTAAAACAACACAGTTACTGCAGCAGTTACGCTCAGAAGTCTTTATATCTTATAAATATTATATCCTTTATTTTTATTTATTTTTTATTTTTCTACTTTCCACGTAACCAGCGTTTGTGCTGCACAGAACCCTAATGGAGGCAGCCAATATGTCAGTCACTAGGCTGCTATACTCATTTTTTGAGCCTCACTTGAAGCCTAGCAGAGATGATTTGAATGTTATGGGCCACTATGCTGAAACACACTGGCGAGAACTCTGGACTTTAACATCTATTGACATTGCTTTCCTCATCATCATCATGCGTGAGGAGAAGCTCTGAGCTGTTTAGCAAGTGTTTGCTGCCTTTATCGGCTGAATTCAGCTTCAGTCACTGGTAATTTGCATCTCATTTAAAGTTTTACAATCAGCTTAAAAGTTTTTCCACAGGTAATCCAATTTGTTCTAAAATGTACCTTGTCTGTTTCAATTTCACACACCACCTCATCCTCAGAGACAGTGTCGCCAACAGCTGTGGACACAAAGACATAACTTTGCATTAGCATCTACAGAAATCTGAAATGTGGTTAATCAAGTGTTCTTAGTTAGAAGCATTACCTTTCTCCCACCTTACATCCCCCTCTGTGACAGACTCTGCGAATGCAGGAGTCTTGACTGTGATGACTTCATCTCCTGAGAAACAAAGTCAAAAGGAAAGACTTTCTTTACACATTCATCACATTAAAATAAGTGTAAAAACAGCAGATTACATACTGTAAGCTACAGATGTCCTGAAGTACTGGATTTGGAAGATACTGGATCGGGGATTATATGGTCTGTAAAAACAAACAAAAAAAACACATACTTGAAACACGACCCAACATAAAAAAAAAACTAAATTATTAATAAATCTAAAACTAGGTCAATTTGAAACATTAAAAGCCATTAGTAATCTTTTGTCATACAGACATAAACATAAGTCAGACAGCACAGTTACCATGTAACATTCAATAAAACCTTGACAGCGCTTCACTATTTTAAGGATCGTATATACTTACACGTTGTTGTTTACGGTGATAGGATGGCAAGTTGACAAAACTAAAAACAGAGAACAGAAAAGTATATAAACAACATTTTAGATGTATGTGGCTAGTCTATACTTCAGCAACAACATAATATACCTGCAGTGGCCCGACGAGCTAACCCATTGTTGCCCTGCGAAAAAGATACAGTCCTGTCAAGACACCTGCAACTTATACATGAAGAAATATGATCAAAACTATGTTAAATTACAGTAAATCGGGGAGCATTCAAACATATCTGCTGTACTGCATTAGAAAAAATTGGGTTCTACTGGTCATTTTTTTACAGCTTTATTTTAACACAATTTAACATTTTAATTGGCTAAGAGGCTTTCCTGAAGTGGTTAAATATAAAAGAATAAGGATTTAAACTAACGCATAACTGCATTGTGGTCTTTACTGACACAAAGCAAAGAGTCTGGAATAAAACAAAACCTAGAAAGTTATGATACATCTGGTCTCACTTATAAACAAGTTAGACAATGGTCGAAATACTAGCATAACCTTAATTTTACTGTTTTCTCACTTTCACCACAGTATGACCTCAGTCAAATGACAGCTAAATGCAGTTAGCTAACAATTTTAGCTTTTCCTAATTAGCATGTTTCTGGTCTATGCATGAATATTATTGAACAGATTAAAATGAAAGTTAAATATGCTAGTTGAATATATCCAGTGTTAATATTACAAATTACTGGTGTTGGCAGCACTGATTTATGCTGACAAGTGTCACCCTGCCCTTGGCTCGCAATGTTCCGGCCTAGACGTGGCCTACGGCAGGGACATGCTAATGCTAATGCTAGCGCAGATAAGCTTATTGCAATAAAACTGCGAGTTTTCCAAAGCCGGAGGCAGAGAAAGCTAAGCGGAAGAGCCGGTCCGGCATTGTTGCACATACCTGGCGGATGGCAGAGAGGGAGCGGCCGAAATTCCTGGTGAGACACCGGGAATGGGATAGCATGATCACTGTGTGACAGCGGGCTGTCAGCGGAAGAGAAACTCCGGTCACATCGATGAGAACGACTGGGCGCGGGGTGAGTTGAGGAAGCTGCGTGGAATGAACCAAGTGCTGAAGCTGAAAGGGGGGAGAGGGCGAGCTTCCACTGTATAAACACAACCTAACCATATAAACTACATATAAACTAAACTAGTTTCAGCAAATATAAACCATAATAAGCTAATATGTAACGATAAATCTACCATATAAATAAACTATGGTTATTTTTTAGTAATATATTATTGTCAATGTACCTACCTGAGTGTATTGGAAGTAGGTCCACCCATTGAAATTTTGATTTCCAGTTTTTCACATGTATACATTTATTCTGTGTAATCTAGCTAGTCGTGATGGATTAAGAATAAATCTGTGAAAATACATTTTATAGACTTGCTAAAAATGATCAGTTATTTAATTCCTTTGGACCACAGCATAGCTGCACAGGCTGTACAGTATGTTTAGTTTAAAGGTCACAAGGTTCAGTCCTATAAGACTGCTATGCCCCAAATTTTGGACTCATCTCTTCTCCAACAACCCTTAATCAAATGTACAATTCCCTTATCAGCATGTAATTTATCTCTCAAAGTGTTGTAAGGAGCCACTTCTTCTGATGTTAGTTTGATGAAGAAAGGGATGCATCACAGTTGCAGGATAGCAGCCTAAATCTTGAGGACTTTTGAGCACTCAGGCTTTGGTCATTGTTGCACTGAAAACTGAACATCTGTCAGAGTCTCAGGCCATTTTGTTTTTTTAAATCTCTGCTTCCACTTATTTGTCATGTGCTTATGAGAGAAAAGCATCCCCACAGCATGAAGCCTCCATTGCCAGGTATCACCATAAATGGGCTGTATTCAAATATCTTAACTGATAAAGAAAGGCTTCTTTGAGGGATCTGCCTTAAGAAATCTTGGTATCATTTCAAATTCAGCTTTGCAAATTAAAACTATCAATAAATAATCTCTGTTTCTTCCTTTTCCCTAAAACTATAAAAGTATTTGGCTTTATTGGTCTTTCCACATCAGCAAATCTTTCTGCTTTTACATAATTAATGAAATCATTTGATCTACCGGTACCTAAAAGGCTATGTTACTTTCTTATTTGACAATCATGCTCATGTCCAAGGTACCCCCTAATAAGTCACCAGTCCATCACAATGTATATGGGACATTTCTTAGAGCAATTTTGCACCTATATAAACACTGAATATAATATACATGTTTTTGTTACCTTGTGGGGACAATTTGGGGACTTATAGCTACTTGTGGGGACCAATAACTGGTCCTGGTTAGGAGATGTTCTCTTCTTGGGATGCGGGCATTAGTTCAGGTTTAGGTTTAGGGTTAGGTATGTGCTGGTAATGGTTAGGGTAAGATCTGGGTTACAAATGAGTGGAAAATGAATTGAAAGTCCCCACTGTGGCAGTGTGTCATAACACACGTGTTTGTTTGTTAGTGTGTGCATGCATTTGTGGATTTGGTTATGTGATTATGCTATGTATGAAGACCAATGTGTATTTTCAATTAGAATAAGGTATTTTGTGAAAGCATCTCTTGTGTATGAAAATTAAATTTTAATCTTAAATATAAAATACATTTTTATGTCTTTTTTCATATGTTAAACACAAATGGACATATGTTATATTTTACCAGCCAAGACATAGATTGTGTCTTTTTAAAAAAATGATTTTTGAGCTCAATAACAGATTAACTCCGATTTTTTTTTTTTTTTTTTTTTATATAAAGTTTGTGCATATAGGCCTATTTATTTACATTTTATTATCAGATTCAGGTCCATCATCTTTAAAATTCCTTAGTAAAAAAGTATAAGTGTAACAGTGTCCTCGGGGTGATGAGACTCCCCTGTAGACCTCTAGGTTTTTTATATGGCCACGCCCATGCATTCATGCCTCGGCTTTCATTTACGCCGCGCTCTCTGCAGCCTACCTCCAGTCTGCGCAGGCCATCAGCTCGGCAGCACGTCCCAGCGCAACAGGTAAGGTCCCATTCGCGCCGCTCTGAGCCAGCTGTGGTTAGGCTGAATAAATATGTGCTAAAGTGCATGCATGCAACTCTATTCGCTTCTTCAAGCATGAGCGTTTTTCATTGCAGGAGAAATATTTGTCTTCCTTTGTGACTAATTTGTAAAATACTATTTGAACTTGTTTAAAACATATTTAAAGCCTGATGACTAATTTATTCAATTTTTAAACCTTTGAGTTTAGTTTTTTCTGTGAAAGAAAATCCTAATTTAAATTATATCATTATGGTTTTAAAGGTGATATATATTTTAATAAACAGTTTACATTTTACTTCTATTAAACTGCAATCTCTATAATCTTTCTCTTTTGATAGTACTAAAAAAATAAAAAAAATAAAATAACAGCTGGAAATTAATTAATGTGAAATTACTCTGTTGTTTATGTTACTACTGCAAATAATACAGTAAATAATAAAAGGGATGATGATAACAAGAATAAAATCTTCTTTGTTCAGTGTTGAAAATATTTTATTCTGTTGTAAAAAAAAAAAGGGATATCCAAATATAATAAGACAGTGATGAGTTTCTCCAACATGCATTATCTTTAAATAGTAAATGTTACATCAAAAAGTTATTAATAAGACTGAAATTGTTAGATTTGTTTTTCTTATCACTTAACACACTTTTCTTTTTATTACAAAATAACTCTGTGATATAGAACTAAGAATCTGGAGTTTTATTATTGATTTAAAAAAACAAAAACATTTATAAATTAGAATTCTAATTACAAGCTGTTTTGTCAAATGTGTTAACTACGGCTCATAGTGCTTCTTTGTGTTAACTGTATTAACAAACAGAGTATGAAAGGATGCAAACACTATTCCTTTAATGTATTATTTGTCTTTAATGAACTGAAAATATTTACGTTTTTGCACATTTTTTCAGACTACATTTTATATTCTTTTACAATCTCCCTTTACTGAATACATACATATACATTTCTTAGCTGTACTAATGCAATGCATTTTTATTTAAATTGTCTATGTAAATAATTTTGTTTTTTAATTCCTTGGGAATTTTTTTTAAGTACAAGTTAAGAACAGCTATGAAAATGACACATATTGTTATTAAGAACAATAGAACTCTAGTATATGTTGTTAAAATGTTTATGTTAATGTTTTGCATTTACTTTCATCTTATTATTTTTGTCTTTTCAATGAAAAAAAAATTAATATCTGCAGTGTGACGATCAGCCGTGAACATGAACCTCAATCTTCCAGACCAGAACATGCACAGCTCAAGCGAGGGCTGCCTAGAGGACGACAAACCTGAGGTAATGTTGCCCTGCTTCCGTAGAAACATGTTTGAAGAGCCGTTGGCCTCCTTCTCAAACGGATCCATCATCTCTCAGCTCCTCCGCAAGACAATTCACAACAAAAGGGCGCTGGATGATAACCATTTCTACCTCTCTGGTTCTCTGGCCGCTGCCGACTCTGGCCAAGAGGACCAGAGCAGCATCTCCTCACAAGACAGCACTGTAGAGGCCGTATCCCCAAGTGAGTCCGTTGCCGCTGGAGCCAGCCCAGAAGGAGAGCATCTCTTGGCAGATCATCTACAGGCCAAGAGAGCCAGAGTGGAGAACATCATTAGGGTCATGGCTGGTTCTCCCAGCAGTAGGCAGCTCTGTGAGGGTGAGAGGTCTGATACAGAAGCCAGAGAAATTAGAGAGGCCAGAGAGTCCTGCAGGGAGAACAAACGTAAGCAAAGGTTGCCTCAGCATCAGGAGCACAGTACTGCAGGATGGCAGATGAACAGAAAACCAGGTAGCAGCAACAATGACAAGTTCAACACCAAGGAAGAGGAATGCCACAAGTTAAAGGAACAGCTGCACAGCATGCAAATGCTTCTGCGTCAACTCCAGGAAAAGTTCCTACAAGTTTATAGCCAAGAAGAAACGGTTTATGAGGCTGGAGATGCAGCAGGTGTGGAGTCTGAGCATGAGATCCTCAAAGAAAGTGCAGACGTGTGCTACGTAAGCTCTGAGGAGCATCTTGAGGCAAACAACAGTACAGTGACAGCACACTTTAAGGACAGGATCAAAGCTGCTGATTATCAGGCACACCAAAGGAAAAACCCGAACTTCCAGGAAACCCTGAAGCAGGAGCTCTCCAAAGCAGTAAATGATTGCATTGACAGGGTTTTTAAAAAGGCCTCCTCCACAGATACGGACATGTCTCCTCAGCAGCGTGTCTGCTCATCTCCAGAGATCCAGATCAGCCTGGTTGCAGACAGGAAGAACACGCCCCCTGATTACTCCCACGCTGAAGAGACTCCTGTAAAATCCGGATCCTCAGAATATTGCGAGAGCACCAAGGGTCAAACCTCACAGGACCAGACAGAAGCACTTTCACTGGTCGTCCGCAAGCCCCCAGTGACCCAAGGGAGCTCAGTTACTCCAGCAGTGAAAAGGCCTTACCCCATGCATCAAACACCTTTCCAGTTCAGCTACACCCCACCTCTCCACGAGAGCCACATCCTGGAGCACCTTCTCAAGTATGGGCCCCATTCCAATTTTGGCACACTTCCCTGCATAGCCCCCTCAATGGACAGGACCTCCCCGGACTCGGTGGACCTTTCCTGGGATGCCATGGCCATGAGATCCAAGGTGTCATCCAGTCACTTCAGCCACCACCATCGCCCCTCCCCCATGGGAGCGGTGGCGGTTGATGGACTGTGTCTGCCCCATGTGAAGATGGAGAATGGCGAACTGCAGAGCCTGGCTGATAGAAACCCCTACATGTCTCTCAATATATCCTTTATTTCTAGAGAGTTAAAGAAGAGCAACTGAACACTTCTTGATTCTTTTTAAGTTCTCTGACATAAACACAGACTTCAAATAACTATCGGGACTTTTTGTAATATGCACCTAAAAAGTCACGCCTATTGTAGTAAAAAAAAAATTAAATATGTTTTTTACATAAATAGGTCAATACTTGGCAGACCCACTTTTGACTTAGCTTCAGATCTTTTTATGTAGGTCTCTACCAACCTATTTATTTTTTTTTTCTTATTTGCAAAATAGCACCTGAAATTTAATTAAGATTTAATTTCAGGTAGGAAAAATATTTTCCAAGGCAGTTAACAGAATCTCATTTAACTTTTATAAATACAGTAAAACATATAGTTGCTTGTTTTTTACGTGAATTATTGCAGCTACAATTTGGAAGCCGATTTTATTTTATGTTGCCTCAAACTGCATTGCTTTCCATCTAAGCATTTTATTAGATATTGTTACAGTTTATTGTGAAAGGCTTGAGGCCACCTGTTTATTTAGCAAAGAATATTCTATATGCACAATGTTTTCCCTTTATTTAGACCATGCTTTCTATTCTTTTAGTGCATCCATTTGAACAATTGCTGGTCGAGGTTCACTTCAACGCGGGCAGTTCCAGCAACAAACTTCAAGGAGAATTTTCCCTTTGATCTTACTAACCTCACAGAAAATTATAGCATCTTCTTTAATCTGAGCAGAGTAATGACTTTAAGTCTAGAGAAAGACAAATAAAAAGGAATACAAGGCTTTGATAAGAATTGCTGGGAACAAAAGCCAATTTTTCAAAGGCAGAGAGAGCTTCAGTCTCTGTTTCAGGAAGCATCAGGGGTTTTTTTCCCCCTCAGACTTGAAAAGGTGCAGGATCTATTTCTCCGTCATCAGAGTGATAGGGGTGCATCTGAAAGGTCACATGTGAGTGCTGGTGGAAACCACAAGTGCTTCCCAAACATAACACTTGAGCTCTTGTCTTGAGCATTTGTTATTGAATACATTTGATAGACTGAGAAGAAAACGACTGTCAGAAGTTGTTTTATAAGCAGAATTTTTTTTACTATATCTCTTGCATTACTATTTAAATAAGTTCCATCATCCCTAAAAAATACATTCCTTAGGTTCCTTCATTATATAGTAGTTTTCCTCAAATAATCCCAGAGGTGATGAGTTTGAGTTGTGGTCATGTTGCAAGGATTTAGAGAAGTATATTGCGTGGTGCCTTTTAGGATTCACTTTATCTTTACAGAGCAAAGAGCTCTGCTCCTCTTTGAACAATGCCACATAAATCTTTCATCCATACTTCCTTATTTCAAAGACAGGGTTCCCTCATAAATGTGAGGTGTTGTGACCTGATAAGAAGATATTATGACCTAAAGGCAGTGAACTATATAAAAAGAGTCAGAAGCACCTTTACTGCTTCAGCAGGACAATTTTGGGATAGAATTAAATATGTCTAATATAATGGTTTCTTGATAATTTTAGTGAGTAGTGAAAGAACTAAGCTATTCAGCTTAGACATGGGCCTTTAATGGATGGTATCATAATAATTGTATGGCAGTCCGTAATATAAATATCACGGCATAATGGAATTAAAATTTGAAGTTAGAAGAAAAACAGGAGTGCATTTAATCAGTGTTATTTAAAACAGAAAAGCTATATTTTTTCCTACTGCCTTTGGCTAAATGTAGTTGCAGTATTCACATGCAAAAAAAATCTGCTCTTTTTTGGGAGAAAAAAAGAAATCTACCGTAATAGGCAGTTTAGAGGTTGTTTAATTTGGGTTTATATCCTCAGGTATCCTGCCGCTCTTGTCTGCTGTAACATTAAAACGCAGTAGCTTGATAGGAGCAGTGAGATTGTGGTTTCGCAAAATGATTTTCCATGAGATTTTTAAACTTAAATTTTATTTCTGGTCATTTTTTTCTTGATGTTTGTTCCTGCAAGTGAGGAAATCATCTATCAGTCTCCTATCTGGCTGCTGACCTGCAGTGTGCAGCTGGCAGAGATCGCAGAGGGTTAGTTCTTTGTTACTGTGTCCTGCATCACTCTGTCTGGCATCGAAGTTGGAATATTTTCCTGGGCTAAAAAAAAAAAATGCAACTATCTAAAACCTTGGCTTACCTTAAATTGAGAAAAAAAAAGCAGAAGAAGAGAAGGGGTTAAAAATATATATTGCCTTGCAAAAGTATTCATACCTTTTTGCTGAAGGCCTTAACTTCAAAGTATCCAAATGGATAGAATCTGTAAATAAAAATGTCTAGACACAGTTCTATTAGAATTAGGCCTAAATTTTAATAGGGCCATCTTAACACATAAACACACTGACCGAAACCATCAAAGTCCTGCTTTGGCTGTTTGTTTACTACTGTCGTCAAACTAGAAGGTGAATTTTCCATCTGAGGCTCAAGTCTTTTGCTTCCTCTAACAGAGTTCATCACAGCATTGCTTTGTATTTAGCTCAGTCCATCTTTCTACCATCTCTGACCAATATCTATGTCTATGAATAATATTTCTACCTTTTGGTTCTGCTATCATATTTTTTTTTCTATTTGGGCCATATGTTAATTGGCTTTTATATATAAGTTAGAATGTTTTATTTCATTCAGTTTTGATCTGAGCAGAGAAGCTTCTTCCACATCTTTACTCTCTCACACCTTGTGGAAAAACTCCAAACTGGTGATTTTTTGCTTTCTTTCAAAGATCCAAATATAAGTGCATGACTAAAAGCTGTCCTGTTGAAAGAATCTCCTATTTCATGTGTGGAAGAAAGGCGTTATTGCAGAGCTAAAATAGGCTTATTGGCTGCTTCTCTGATGAATCCTTTGTCCAAACAGCCAGTTGGCTTAGGTCTACGGCCATATTTCATTTGTCATACTCCGTTTTTTTCCACTGGTTAAACAATCATCTGTCAAATGTTCAAAGCGTGACATAATGCACACTCACAAAATATTTCACCCAATTCATCTAATTCCCAGTTACTTGTTTTCCTTATAATTTTAACCTATTAGAGAAACCTTACATGATATATAGTAATTTGTTTAGTATAGCTTGTTTTTCTAAATACTTAATTGTTAGGTTAATGAAATGAATAATATTCAAAAAATACTCTTTATTTCACAAAATGATTGTGCATCATATAAGATTTATTTTATTGGTGTGTTTTTGAATTATTCATAAAAAAGTAGAAGGGAATTTCTTATGTAGTAAAATTACATAAATCTTAAGATTTGGGTGAAATATTTTTTATTTGTGTATATAACTTAATCCTGCTTTAACATTTGTACAACTTTCTACGTGACATTTCTGCTGGGTTACTTTGACTTCACTAATCTTCCTCAAGAAAGCTCTCAGTTGGTCACCAACAGCTGGATTTATGCTGACATTGAGTAATATTCATTTAGACTTATTAACCAATTAGATACAGATAAACTCTTATTATTAATCATATGTTTTGAGGAGGATTTTAACGTATGGGTTTCAGACTAAGGTGATTCAAATTAAAATTAACACCACATTTTTCAGATTTTTGTCTTATTTAACAATTATGAATCTCTTTGTATGAGTCAGTGGAAAAAAACTCTAATTAAAATGCATTTAAGCTTATTTTGTATCATGTAAAATTGTAGAATAGAGATCCTAACGCCTTTGAAAAGTGCTATATATTATTTATCTAACAGTATGGCTGTTTTAACTGTTAAGAAAAAACAGCAGCATATGTCGTCTTTAAATCCCCCCACTTATATCCAGGAATCAGTGTCCCCTTTCAAAACATTTCAATACAAGCTGTCTTTACTCGTAGCCATGAAGTGCTTGGCACTCTAATTAAAAATCCCTAATCTAATTTGTAATTCTGTTTTGCCAATAAGCGCATGTTAGGGTCATTATTGACTTCCAAGTTAATGCCGAGCTGTTCTTTAGCAAAATTCAATTTAGCCCTAAGATGGAAGCAACACGATCCTCTCCTCCACTATCACTTTGCACTGGGTAGTGTCGTTGGCTTTAATTTTCAACTTTCCTTAACACCGACTCGAACATCCAGGAAGGCCTCACTCCAAGTCATCTGAAGAAGGCCAAGCTGATGTTCTTCTACACCCGCTACCCAAGCTCCAACATACTGAAAACTTTCTTCCCTGATGTCAAGGTAAAATGCTTACTGCAAAAAATATATAGACAAAGTTGTTTGACCTGCTTTTTAACCTCCAGTGTCTACCTGTCAGCGTGTGTTTGGGATAGAAATAATCAGCAGTGTGTCGGAGGAGAGAGACAAAAAGCGCAGAGGGTTTAAATAACAAAGCCGCTGAGCTGCTAGTTTGTCCTGGGGGCAGAGGGAGATACAGGGGCATTCTCTCTTGGAAAAAAAGCCTCTCCAGTCAGCAAATGGAGTGACAAAGGACTCTCTAGACAAGGCATTGCTATTGAGTGTCAACACAGAGTTGGTATTAGAGACCTTTGCAGATGTGGCGAGGCGGTCAGCTGGTCATAAAGACAACATCCTGTGTGTTTTTTTTAGACCCTACCCTGTTCCTTTCATTTTTCTTTCTTCTGCTGTTTTTCTTTTCACCCTTTTATGTGGACCATCTCCATCAGTTTTCCTCCCAGAATCTTCCATGCCATTCTCTTTTCTATCTCTCTCTGGGATCCAGGCGCTCATGTGGGCCTCTACCTCTCAGATGAGCTGACCCTTGGGTCAGAAGGGGGGATGCTTCTGCTGCTGCAGCCCTGCGAACGTCTCCTCCTTGCCTGCAACCCAACGGTGGGAAGTGGCACCAGACAAAGGGGCACATAATCCTAGTGTCTGATTCCATCCTATCAGCCGAGTCAATGAGAGGGAAGCTTCCTTCTGTCCTTATGTGCTTTTGCTTTCTCATTCACCACACCAGAAAGAAGAAGCGTCTTTGATGCTTGCCCAGCCCTTAGGCATTTTTTTTTCTTGTCTTTCTGGATGATGAGATAGAATAACAGGACTAATGTCAAGACTGAGTTAAAAAACACAAGCCTGACAGATGTTGTTTTGCTCATTGGTGGGAAAAGATCAGAGCAATTAATATCTTAACATGACTGACTTAGTGGCATGTTGACCTACAAATATGGTGGATTTAAGAACTGTGAAAACTACCGTTCAAAAACAGCTTTTTCAACATTTAATGATGTGTAAAATATTACTTGTATGACTAAACTAAAAAAAAAAACATGTCTGCCCCAAAAATGTTGTGATGACAGTCATTTTGCAGCTTTAGAATATAGAGGACCACACTCCATTTGGACACGCTGTCTAACTGGAGTAAACTTTATAATCTAAAGTGCAAAAGTCTTGCAGGGAAATACAATTAATTTATTGTGGCTATTTTTTTTTTCTTCATTTCCCAGTTCAATCGCTGCATTACCTCTCAGCTGATCAAATGGTTCAGTAACTTCAGAGAGTTTTACTACATCCAAATGGAGAAGTTTGCACGCCAGGCCATCGCTGAAGGCATCCGCGATGTCAAAGAAATTACTGTCAGCAGGGACTCTGAGCTCTTCCGGGCGCTGAACATGCACTACAACAAGGCCAACGATTTTCATGTAGGTGTCACTCAGCAGTCATCACACAGTTAATGTTGTGGTTCCTTTTGTTTGGCTGTGCAAGAAAGTTCTATTGTTTTTTTTTTTTTTTCTAAATAGCTAGTTGTGGTTAGCACTATTGAAACCAATATTAGAAGTTAAATCGTGGTTGGTTGAAGAAAACAAGGCTCGGTTGGAGTCTTTGCATTTTAATGCTTAAGTGTTTTCTGGTACTTCTGTTCTATGTCAAATTCACTGCAATTTTTTACAGTTGGCTGTGGTGTGGGCATATGGGCATCGTTGGTTGTGTTATTTGTCTCTGTGCAGTCCCTGGGATAATCTGTGCAATAAGGTTTAATACAGAAAATTTGATAAATGAAGCTACTGCAATAAACCCATATGTAGACCTGTTTCAAATAACAGTGCAAAGTAGTGTGCACTTTTGAAGTAAAATAAATAATGATACATAATTTCCAACATTGTATTAGCATGAACCTGAACAGTGTGGACTGGATATGCATTTCAATGTTGAATGCAAAGACAAGTCTTTACCAGCTTTACATATAAGTTGACTGTCATTTCTGCCTTTAAGCTCAACTTATTTATTTATTTATTTTTTTTTTTTTACAAAAAAGCCCACTTTTAGTTTGATTAGATGCACAGCTTATGGGAAAACTATTTCCATATTCAATTTCATATATGACCTTTGGCTGTTTTCTGTAGCCGTTGAGAGATTATCTTCCAGGGAAACTTCTATTCGGTCCCAGCCATATTGAATCAGCTCTGACTAGTTTCTCTGTCCCTGCAGAAGAACAACATCCCCACAGGATGATGCTGTTACCACCATGCATCATTGTGTATATTGTGTTAAGCGTGATGTGTTGTAATGCTTTTCTTTGATGCACAGCATTTTGTATGCAGTATAGAAAATTCAACTTCATTCTTCTTGTTGCTTAAACAATGTTATTCTTCTTTCAGCTCTTCCATTGAGGACAGATTACAGAATTAATTAAATATACCAGCTCAGTGTGAGCTGTAGGTCCTTGTAACTTAATAAATCATCTGACCCTACATTTTAAGAGGATGAAAGGAAGTTGAATACAAATGCAAGTAACACTTTTCAGGTTTATATTTGCAAACACTGTTGAAAAATATGTATCCCTTTCCTTTCAATTTAGTGTTATACTTTACTTAGTGTCTGTCTATAACATAAAATGTAAAAAAAAAAACATGAAAAAATTGTTAGTGGCAGAGGGTTTCAAAGGGTGTGATTGCCATGCCCTTGGACTATCTGAGCTGTATTCTATATTACAGAAGTCAAGTTAGTGTGAACATGTTTGACTGTGTTGGTGAGCTATTAGTGTCATCCTGCACCTGTGGCTGGCCAGCTCTTACTAGCATTATCCAAACTCCAGAGTGATGCTTTATCAAACTGTGGGAAGAGGAAGCCACAAAATCCTGCTAAAACAACTCAGGATTAGAGGACCTGCACGCCTGAGTGGGGCAGAGATTGCTACTGATGCGGAATGCTGAGAAAGATGCTGTGGATTCCGATGGAGAAGGCTATGTGGTGGGAAAGGGATGTGTCCGTTTTCTTTACCTTGGGACCAAGACATTCTTTCCCAGGGATGCTTTTGTGTCAGGAGATGAGGGGAAAGAAAAATAACTAATGCAAACAAGTGTTGGGCAAATTTTGCAAACAAGTTCAGGTTTTCTTCCATTAGTCTTTGCATTTAAACTTAATTTATTGAGGTGGTTTCATGGAATATTATGTAGTAATACTAGCTCTACCACAATGTGAGCAAAAATCTTTGACTTTTTCCCCATATTCTCTACCCTGCCTTTCATACACACACTAGATCTTTTTCAATTAATTTTTTTAACCTTTTTTTTTGCAATAAAAACTCTGAAAGATGTGACTTGCCTTTGTATTTAGTCCCCCTGCGTCAATGCTTTGTAAAACTACCTTTTGCTAGCACAACAGCTGCAAGATTCTAACCTGTTGGCTCATCTAAAACTTGAAAGTTTTGAATATACTTTTTTTTCAAAGTAGCTCAAATTCTGTTTGTTTTTTGTCTTTTTCCCCCCAAGTGTTAATGCAATAATTCATCTATGATTAAGTCTTTGATTTGGCCTTTAAATTTTTTTGGCCCTTTAGCAACTTTTTTTTAGGATTGGCTATATTTCCCTTCATCCAGCTTCCCTGTCCTCATGGAAGAAAATAATATGTTCAGCATGGTGCTGCACTCAAAATATTTCAGTATGAGAATTGAGCTGTCACAGATATATTTAGTGGTAGCTTCATTTTACATGATTAACACCTTATTTCTGGATTTTAAAATTACTTGTCCTGTCAACAGATTCCTCCTTTTGAGCTGAAGCTTTCTGGGACTCCTTTGGAGATCTAATAGCCGTTTCCTCTGTTGAATTTAGACCATCTGTAAAATATATGAACCTGGATTTCATTTAGAGGTGTCAGAGTAATTATTTATTATATCTCTGATATTTACAAATCAAACTAATGTTTTGTTGCTTGAAGCTTAGCATAAAGTCGTATTCCTTGGTGGTAGTTACTGTAGGCTCAAGAAAACAAGGCTTTATAATGAAAGAGACTTTCAATTGAAGGTTAATGACTGCTGCGATGCATTTTTAGAACCTGTTCAGAGTACAAAGAGAAAGGCTTGCTTTCATCAGCCTGAGTGTTTGAAGAAATGCTCTACTGGTCCTCATTCTACGTTTTTAGAAAAAGCAAATATGAGACCGTTTGGTCGCAGGACTTTACATAAAAGCTTCTTCAACACTTCGATCCAATCATAAAATATCCTGTTTTCCAGGTTCCCGACAGGTTCCTGGAGGTCGCTGAAATCACCCTGCGTGAGTTTTACAACGCCATCTCTGCTGCCAAAGACTCAGACTCCTCTTGGAAAAAGGCCATTTACAAGGTGATCTGTAAGCTAGACAGCGAAATCCCAGAGGAGTTCAAGACATCTTCCTACCTATAGATTTGTTTGTTTTTTAAAACTTGTACAGAGGATTAGGATTGTGATTTGTCTTTTGACAGTGTTACTTCATTTCTTCTGGTATAATTTAGTGAGGTGAAATATAGATTAAAGACATTTTAAAAGAATTGTATCCCAAATGTGAAATTTTATGCTCTGCTTTGTTAAAATTAGAAAATTAAATAGATATCTTTTTTGTTTTTGATGGTTTTTGTGTTTGTAGCTGTGTTAAAAAGAATAGCAAAAAGATGTAATCATTCATTATCTAGTTTATCACCACTCAATATGGATAATAGTTTGGTTTCTGTTTTATCCTAAAGATCTTTATCTAAAGCAAAGATACATGCACTGCTGTTTTTTTTTTTTTTTTGTTGCATAATTTATTAATGTTCTTTCTGTATATTGTTAGCCTGTCTGCTTAGTGTTGTATTGGTTGAATGCAAATTACATGTGAAGGTAAAAACTCTGTCTTATAAACAATCATATTTCACAAAGAGGATGATTGCTACAATTAAAGATGCACTAAATTATAAAGAAATAAAAGTCTGTGGTTTTATTTAAAAAAATAAAATAAAAAGGAAAACATCAGCACATATTTAGAAAGACCAACCTAGTAAATGTTTTTAGCTGTAAAAGCTTTATGAGTCCTGCTTCCATTCCCCTAAGGTGCCTCTAATCCACGTTCAACAACCAGCTGTTAAACATTGCCCGAACTATGCCATCACATTGTTCACGGAAGCCAATTCAAGTCAACTTTCTAAGGCCTGCATTCATTGTGCGGCCGCTGCGGATGTGGACAACTGCCATGTCTTAAAAACAGCCACAATGCATTCCCTCCTCATGACTAATGCCCGAGGTGACCTCATATTGCGGTTGTGCCACCAAAGCAAAATTCCAGAAACCCTGATGACTCTTCTTCCAGGCTCTGGCATGAATCAAACTCATGCTAAAGTTCAGTAATGACCCAAACGGGGATTCCTTGATATTGTCTGTTTTGAAACATGCATATTTTTACTGAAATGATAAAATAGTTGGTAATAAATTGTCTTCATATCATAACTGGGAGTGTCTTTAATTTGTATCAGTCTGAGAGAAATAATTCTGCTTTCTTACTCAATTTGTCTATTGTACTTTACAAAAGGTTAATAACCATTTGATCTCATTTATAATTTGTCACTTGAAAACATCCTCACATGCTTTCATGTATGAGTGAACAACATAAAGCATTGCATAAGTTTAAAGTGAAAGGAAGATATAATTTTTTTTTTTACAATAAGAAATGGTTACTGCAAAATTTCTCAGAGTATTGCCCCTTCTGTCATTGAAAAATGGATAATGTCACATCTTTAGACCCAACAAAATATGAAAGTTAAATAAAAACCTATAAGCTGGGCATGGGCAAGGAGAGAATAGATAAGAAGCATCCAAGAGGCACTTTGGAGAAGTTGTAAAGATCCACAGCTCAGGTGAAATAATCTGTTGATATTGAAAGTGTTGCTAATTTAACAAACAGATCTGGACTTTATGGAAGAGTGGCAGCAAGACAGCCAGTGCTGATATTAACCCACAAGACCTCTAGTTCAAAATATTATATGTGCATTGCACATCCCACTTAATAATGCCCTTTTTGTAAGGAACATTTTCCATAAAAGAGACAGAACAGTTACTTAAAACTTAAGGGGAGTTAGACAAACCCAGGAAAAGATCCCTTTAGATGTAAAAAAAAAACTGAAACTCAGGCAAAGGTTCAGCTTCCAGCAAGAGAGGGACCCTAGACATAAAGCCAAAGTTGCAATGTAATGATTTATATCAAATCATATTCGTGCTATAAAATGGACCAATCAAAGATGTTCACTTATTCCAGCTGAACTTCACTTATCCTGTAAAGTATAGTGGACATGCATTCTACTGCAGTCTCTAAATGCGCAGAGCTGGTAATACTACGTGCTTTAACTGAAAGGTGGTTATAGATGTAAACCACACTGTCTACGTAGATGGTTGTTAGAAACCTTAAAACTTTTAAGAAATTTCTCTTTTCTTACCAGTTTTTGGCTGATTGGTAACAAAATGTAAAAAGTACTACCAAATAATATGCTGTGGTTGCTGATGGGTTCCCAAATAAAATTCTCCTTAGAGTCCAATTCAACTTTAAGTTTGTTCTCCAAATTGAAAGTTCTAATGAAAGACTACAATGGACATTAAATATAGAATAAAGAGAACTTAACAATATTCACAGCACAGAGTAGTTCTACTAAAGCGCACACTTTCATCACCCCCTAAACCCAAACATTTAATTGAAAAAAGCTGTTCGGCACCCAAGCACCAATTACATCAGAAATGATAACATTAAGGAAATTAAAACATTGGTTGGACTGGCTGATGACAAAGACTGGAGACAAATAAACCTCACTAATCTTTTAATAGACATTTCTTTTCAATTACATCAGTCTTCAGCAAATTGATTTACATTCTCCAACCCAATTAAAATGCCTCTGATTGAACCAAAGTGCTTTGTTTGAATTAATTTGTTGTGTGACATTTTCTGAACAAGAATTTGGTCATCTCTGATATAATGAAGGAAAACAAATAACGTTGCCTTCAGTTGGTCGATCGCCTCCAGCACGATATGAAATTATTTTCTGTATTAGAGGTTCTCAGATAAAACAGAGCATCCTTTGTAATGAAGATGAAATTGAAAGTAAAAAGCAATGGACTAAATTAAAAGAAAAGCACTTTGGACAGATGCTTTTTTTTCTACTTGTTTGACCTTTTTGAAATTCATAATATGAAATATGCTGATGGTTTGAATTGTTTGAAGAAATAACAGAGTGGGCATAAACGCAGAAGAGTTACAGCATCCTCTAGTGAAATATTGTTGTAATGCATGACTCAACTAAATAGTAATGCATCTTAAAGTTTAAAGCATACTAACCCTTTTTTAATTCATTTTTGCAGCTAATTTTATATTTAAATAAATAAATATTTTTTTTGTTTACAACAATTTAATAATATATATTAAATCTGTGTGAAGATTTTATCAGATTCCAACACATTGTGGAAAACTGAATGATTAGGAACCCTGAACGACTACAGTCATGTGTATTTATGGATAAGAAAAGAGTTTGTGTCTTCTTTGGAGGGTCCCAGACAGACAAAGGCGGATCAAACAGCCCTGATCCAGAGACAATGCAAACTCTGGGACACTGGGGTACTGGGATGGTCTCGCTTTAATCTCATTGCTCATAGATTTGCTGCTTTTTTTGCAACTGGGAGTGTGCCGGGAGCAAAGAGGGAGAGTAACTTGAGAATAGAGGCCGCTGACTTTAGGCTGCCCTTCAGACAACCACTTCTTAGTGTAGTTTGGAGTGATCACCAGTAAATCTTTATTAATTTTAATTGGAGCCCCCATTTAAAAGAGCAATTAAAGCGGATTAATCGAGCCCATCCCGTATAATGTCTTCT